CGGGGCGCTGCCCAACGGAAACGGTTCGACAATGAGCAGAGAGGACTCGCTTAACATCAAGCCTCGCCTTAGCAAGGACTCGCTGGATAAAGCCTTGCCGCCGCTGCCAAAGGAGGCTGGCGGACAGAGCAGCTTCCGCATGGGCCTGGCCTAGGGCGCAAGCCGCCTCTTGTGGAACAACAGCAGACGGATCCGTGGCGTTAGGAGTAAGAGTGGGAGCAATGACGAAGCAGGGGACGACACGCGACGGGAAGAGAAGGGTGGATGAAGCATGAGGAGCAGAGAGGGAGAGAGACAGAGACGGGTCGACAAATCAACAATTGCATCAACGGGGTCAATGACAATTTCTGCAAGCTCGTTCAACGAGGTCTCACAGCGACCGAGGCAACAGAGAGCCGAGACGAGCCACAGAGCTTTTTACTAGTGTTTTCTCTCATGGATGATACCACCATTGCATTGAGCATGCTTCTTCTTTTTTTTATTCAAACCTTTTCATTTCTCTCTCCTCACACCTTTTTCCTTTGGTTTTATTATCAAACCTCTTTTTTTGTTCTCTTGTTTTTCACCCATACAGAAAGTCTCTCATACATAAAGGTCATCACGTAAAAAATCATTGTTTTCCGCCCCCGGTGATGACCAAACTCTGCTGGGAATCAAAGGCAAAAGGGAGAAAAAAAGAATTAGGGAGTCGTGGGATGGGATTGGTGGAAAACTTTATAGCGATATTCAAGAGGGCGCTTTTTATTCCCTTCCCATAATATGGATGGGGTTGGGTGCGTCTAGGTAGCACAAATAGAAGGTCGGTTCTCAACTGTGTCGAAGACAAGTTTGCATTGTGATGTATTTCTCAGTAATGTAGATGCCTGGGCTTTGGAATTAGCCGTGCTTGGCTTATTGATGGCTAGTGGTTCTTTTGTCATTGTGGTTTACATTATTCTACAGACGTTATTCTGAATCCCGCCGGACCCCTGAGGAGTGAAGTATATAGAAACACAGTGTTGTACACCAGCGAATAATAGCTGGAGGAAAGGGAGGTTTTCTGGTATCAAAGGGGCCATATACAGTTGCCGAAAACTCGGTGTCGTCAGACAGATTAGCCAGAGAGAAGAAAGCTGAGGCTCCGCCCAAAATCTGACTGGACGTGGTGTTTGGTTGTTTGGTTCGTTCACTTTAAACTTGTTTCTTTGTCTTGAACTCGAAGGGTCTCCGTCTTACTGCCTCCTCGAGGCGAGCATATCCTGCAGATCAACCTTTGTAGGTGTCGGTCCCTTGGAGGAGGAGGGGGCTGAGGGCTGGTCGGCAAAGGTGGTGGTGACGTCCATCTTGATTGCGTTTTCGGCTTCGAGCTGGGCTATGCGCTGCTTCTTTTGGAGGTCTGCTACGCGCCATTGCTTAAAGTATTTTACCTAGAAGAGGAGGGTTAGTTATAGTTTTGGGTTCGTTCAGAGCGAGGGTCTCCGTTCAAGTTCAAGGAGTTGGTGTTTGTTTCAATTGTCTTTTTTGCGTGAACCGGTAACAGCTTTGGTCAAAGGTCCTGCGGCCGGGGTAGCAAGAAGCTACACCCATGATCGCAAGGAGCTTAAGGACGACTGCGCAAGGAGGAACGGGATTCGAGTAGGGGGGGATACAGCACGTACCCAAGCAGCAGCGCAATCCCGCTCAAAGACCTGGTTCTCGGCGGGACAGGCCTTGCGGGCTTTAGCATCGTCCTTGAGGGCGTCGACGATGACGTTGCGGTCGAGGCAGCCAAAGTATGCGTCGCGGGCCTCCCAGCACTTGCGGCGTTCGCTGCGGTCAGGGGCGACGGCGCCCGTGCGGACTTCTTCGGCGCGCTTGGCTTCTTCGGATTGGAAGGAGGAGAAGAGGCCCATTGTGTCGACGGGAGGGGGAAGTTCGGGTTTTATCGTGTGGTGTCAATATCGGGAGGATCGGGAGGGGATCGATGGATCGTGAGTTTGGTGGTGGATGCCGGAGGAAAGCTTGGTTGAAGAAGCAGGCTTTTGACGTTATGCGGGTTGATCTGGCGTATGCGCTCGACGAGTGGCGGTTCAGATAAAGTCTTGACGACTTCTGTAGATCTTGAACAACGCCGCGAAGTTCGAAGTGGAGGGCCGGCAGAATATCGAGCGGTGGCCTAGAGTGGGATAGTTTACTCTACCGGGGTGGCTCTGTCACGGCTCAGCTCCAATGTGAGCCTTGCCTCATTCGTCCTTAGCGTGGCGGGTGCCGATAGGAAGCTCTGCCGTTGCGATTCTAGGCAGGCACAGGCTGACCGGCGCGCGCCGCAAAAAGACAGAAAGTGTGGCGCAAACTGGCCCAGCTGACTCCAGCCACCAAAACTGTCAACATCCCGCTGCTTCCCTTGTGGCACATCCTTCCCAACGTGACAGCTTGGACGCAACAAACCACGAATCACATTGAAATACGTTCAAAAGACGGAAACGATCCCCACGAGAACGAATCGACGCTGGGGTCTGACATTTTACGCAATTTCCCCAGCCTTTGATTGGCAATAGGGACGCAAGAGCTTATAAGCGGCCACGGAGATTTGCTCCAGGGAAGAAGGGATTACGACCGGGGGGTGGTCTGGGAGTTTCTTATTGCGAACCGCAAAGGAAAGCTCGATAATGCTCCGCCGGTAGCGAGATTCGCAAGACCAAGAACAAGACAGAGCGCACGACCGTCTTTCGCAACGACACCTAGACAAACTCTCTCTCCCTTCCTTTCGACGACGACCACGAAAACAACGACCCATTCAACCATCTACATTTACCCAGAAACCTACCTACCATAGCGTTCCTCGAAACCCGAAGCAAACAAACCCTCCGAAACAACCGTGACCTCAACCCGCCATGCCCCGCCGTCGCAAGCCGCCCCGGCCGGGCGCCCTCAACGACCTGCCCCCACTGCGCATCGCTTCGCAGATCGCGGCGTTACAAGGACTGTACTATGCCGGGGCACTGGTGTTGATGCTCTTCTCAGCGCTCGTCGCTGGTACGGGGTTCACGTTGGATCTTGTCTTTGGGTGGGAGGCTGTTCGGGGGGATACGACGCAGGGCTGGTTGGGGGCTTTCTTGTGGGTTCTCGATGGGGGTTTCTGCATGTGAGTTCTCCCCTTTTTCTCCGTCCTTCAAACGGGACATTTAGGCTGGTAGTATGTGGCTTCTGGGAGGTTGGAGCTCGTCGGGTGAAGTGAGAAAGGACGCGAGCGAGCAAGGGCATGAGCTTGAAGACCAGCGCTAACATACAACAACAGGGCCGTCGCGATCATCATCCTCATCGGCCGTTCAAAGCTCGTACCCGACTTCGCGCTGACGATGCATGGTCTACACCTCGTTGTCACGAGCTTATACACCGGCCGCATCCCACGGAACGCAATGTGGTGGGGTGCTATGGCGGCCAGTTCGGGTATCTGTGTAGCGTTGGCCGTTTGGGGGTCCAGATACCGCGAGCTGAGGCCAATATCGTTCGGCGGTGGAGGCGGTGGAAATACCGGGGGCGGTGCTGGGAGCAGTGGTGATGGTGCCGCGCAAAATGGTGGCACCGGAGACGAGGAGGATGGGCTCGGGTTCTCCAGGGGACGGGGACGTGGAAGGGGGAGGGACGGGGAAAGCGGGTATGAGATGGTCGGGATGGATCATGAGAGACGGAATTCTTGATTGAGCTGAGTAGCTATGAGAGAGGGGAATGGCAGCAGAAGGGGGTTTGGGACTAGCCGCGAGGCTGGAGGGTATGACACATCATTGCTTGGCGTTATCGGGATGTACGAGTATCGAGGATAGATGATCCGGATTGTGTACAGTTTGCATGGCTGTGATGACGCAGGAATAGACACTTGGAAGGCCTTGAGGCTTATTGGGTTCGAATGGGCTATAAACATCCTCAGAATCATTGTGATGCCGATTCTTTAGGGCTGCCAGGCTCTTGAGAGCCAGGTATCAGGTTGCCTGAGGTCTGCCGAAGTCCGTCAAACATAAGCATGTATTAGACTAAATGTCTGTAAACCATGTTATACTGGGAGTCAAATAAGGTAGGCCATGGAATATTATCCTCGCTTGGTTAGACTACTGTGTTCGTCGAACCCCTCCTTCGATAGCGGTCGGCTGGAGTTTCGTGATGAAAGAAGAGGACACTGCATACCGAGTCTAGCGGTTACCAAATGTGAACGTCGGACGATTTGCTTTTGAAGCTGGTCAAAAGGTTGTGGAGAGATGTGGTGATCCTGCGATGGAAGTGGGCGAGGGAGGCTGAGAGTGTAAGCCCAGTCTCCCAAGTATCTTGTTATTGAAGAAAGTAAATGCTTGTGAGTCACAAGTACGAGAATACAGTTTTAAATGAACAGCGTAGTGTGTACCCATTACTTGAAATGACATGCTTTTTCAAGCCTGCCATAAGAGAAAGATGACTGTACTGCTAACTGCTTCCCATCGTAAGCCCAGTCTCAACCTCCAGGACCTGCATTCGTGGGGCATTGAGGCTGAACCAAGAAGAGGCTTCCATTCCTCTATTCCGAGATGTGCATTGCCGGAGTTGCACCAGAACTCGTAACTATTTGGAGGTCTCACACATGGCCAATTGCAACCGCATCTACTGCTGACGGCTTGGTGAAAATGGCGAATCGCATATCTTACCACAAGCAAGGGGAACGCCACAGGTACTTGCAGCTCCAGCCTCGTCCAAATGTGTTGGAACATGTCTTGCTATAGATAAAGTAGCCATCTTATTTATACACTGATCTCCCTCGGTATAGCCTCGCGTTACTCTCGCATCTGATTTTCTCTCGCAAGATGGTCGATTCTCTTTCTTCAAGTGCCATGTACTCTCCTATCTTGCCTTCACTGCGCAGGGCTTCGATTGCTTCTAATGAAGAAAGCAACGATTCAATAGAGCTGTCCCCTCAACGATCTTCAACACCCGTCGAAGAAGAATGCGGTTATTCTTTCCAGGAGACCAGAGATATATCTATGAACGACGAACATAGGGCCTTCCTTGCCCCAAACATGGTAGACATCTCTGATCAAGAGACTTTACACCCCACTTCAGTTTCGGAGGTGTCCTCGGTGGACTCGGAAGAAGAGCTTCCCAAACAGTTGACCTTGAAGCTTGCTGAGAAGGAAGTCCCAAACCACGAGCAGCCAAATACACCACCGAACAGCGGATTATCCGTAGAATGGATCTGGTCAGTGTGGTGGGTAGAGATGTTCAGCAGCGTTCTAGCATTGGAGTGCATCTCTGCGATAGTCATTATCCTATCCGTTTACCGAGGGCAACCTCTTCCCAACTGGCCAAAGCTCATATCAATCAACTCCTTGATCGCCGTCTTCACGGCTGTGTTCAAAGCTGCGCTCATACTCCCTGTCGCCGAAGGTAAGTCTCTGTCTCTCGTCGATGGGCTGACGATGTACGAGAGGCATGCAAACATTCTAACTTGTGATGGTCATTAGGCTTAGGACAGTTGAAATGGAACTGGTTCGATCGATCTCAAACGCTAGGTGATCTCGTCTTGTTTGACAATGCGAGTCGAGGGCCGTGGGGGTCAGTTCTGTTGATGAAGAGATGCATTCTTCGGCCGAATATTAGAGGGTAAAATGTGACCATAATCATTGTTGAGGTTGGCCTATTGACGGTTTGACAGATACTTGGCTGGACTTGGTGCATTCATCACCGTTGCAGCCCTTGCAATCGACGCTTTTTCCCAGGCTGCAATCAATCTTGGCTCTTGTAATATCACGGCAGAGTTCGGTATAGCCGAAGTGTCTCGGACAAACAACTATTCGGGCAATCCTCAACAGCGCGCGACAGCTCCCTCGATGCTGCCCCCATCACCTCGAATCAGAAAATGCGGAAGGCTATCAACAAAGGTCTTGTGGACCCTCCAAAGACTGGAGAGCTAATCAACTTCGCCTGCACCTCTCGCAACTGCACATTTACGCAAGACGGCGGAGGAGGCTACTTCTCGTCTCTCGGAATATGTTACTCCTGTAAAGACATTACAGACAAAGCCGTCTTCGAACTTTTTACCAATAAATCAACACCGGCTTCCAACGTTTCGACGTGGTACCTTCCATGGAGCAAAAACAAAACTGACGAGAGGATCTTCCAAGGGGAAGGCGGTGGTACACTTCTGACAATGGCATCTACACCCAGTCAGGTGTATAACAACAGCTCGCCTCCCATTTACAGCTTCGATATTTTGTCGCTCACGTCTTTCAAGTGTGATTCATGTGGGCCTGGAAATTCCCCAATGAACAGAAAACCACTTGCGGCTCAATGCAGAATCGACCCCTGCGTCAAGAATTATCAAGCCACGGTCACTGATGGAATTTATGTAGAAAAGGTGGAGGGTGGTGAACAGCTGCTAAAAAGACGTCCCGCAACTTTGGGTGAATCTAGGAATGAGAATTCTTTTTCATTACTTACGGAATCTGTTTTGATTGACGGCACAGAGAAAAAGTGCAAAGAAGTAGACGAAAGGGAGAGTGATTCCGTCCGAGTCGGTTTCAAGGATGAAATTTTCAGAGAGATCTACGACAACTCCCCCGAGATCTCTCACTCAGAGAAACTCACCTGGAAGAGATACCCGCGAGAATGCGTCTAGGTTGTAGACAGAAGCTCTTGGCAAGGGATAAGGGAGACGATGACTGACTTTCTGAGTAGTAAAATGACCACCCAAGAGGCGGAATCATATCAATGGGTCCAAGGTTCAGTCTGGGGTCAGCAACTGTTTGCATCCGGAAACGCATCTATATCGACGGTCAACAACATGGCTGCTGGGTTAGCTGACTTAATATTAGGCCTCGCTAGTTAGACCCCGTTAGTTAAGGGATAGCTTAAGGGGTATAAGGAGGGGGACTAAGTAATAAAGGAGCAGCTTAAGTATATATAAAGCGCTAGTAATATATTTTAAAAGAAAAATAAATTTTAGTAATTTATTTTTTAAACCCTAATAATAGTTAGCTTTTATAAGCTTCTTTTTTATATTATATACTTATTAATAATTTAAAATCTTTATTTATAAAAGGGACTAAGCTAAGAGCTTAAAATATTAATAAAAACGAAACGTAGCGAGAGAGTATAATTAGTATTATAATAATAAAAAAAAGATAACTCGTTTTTATTAAACTTTTTAAAATTACTTCCTCTCTAATAAATAATATAAAAACGGAGTATAATAAGACGAATTACGTAATAATAATATAAAAAAACCGTATTACTAAAAATATTAATAAATTTTAAATAAAATAGCGAACTTTTTACCCTTATTTACTAATACTTAAACTAAATAATAAGTAATAAACTAATAAAACTATAAAAATAAAAATAATAATTAAAAAAAAAAATCTTTATAATAATATATAAAAAGTAATTATATAAAAAATAAATAAATTTAAAATACTTATAGAGCTCTTTAAATAGCCCGGCCCCCGCACTAAGAGCTACGGTTTTAATTATAATAACTTTAAATATTAATTTTAATATAAATAAAAATATAAACCCCTAGACTAAGGATAGTTTAATAAATAAAACTATACTTAAAGCGCTACTTAAATAATAATAAAATAATAAGTTTATATTACCTAAGCTTCTATTTACTAACTCCTTTTTAACTTAAATAAGTATTATAAATAAAACGTTTATATTTAAATTACTATCCTTTTTTAACTTATTATATTTTAATAAATTAGTATAGGATTTATAAAACTTCTTATTTAACTATTATTATTATTTCGACTTATAAACTTAATAAATAAGAATAGACTATAATAAAATAATATATATAGTTAACTACTTAAATAGTAATATAAAAACTTCCTAAATATATTATATTTTTAATTATAAAAGGGTCCTTAGGTTTATAATAAACTAAGTTATATAAGAAGAACTAAAAACCTTTTTATAAAATAACTTATTTAATTTTGCTAATTAAGAGATAGTAATAAATATATACTTAAATAATATTTTATAAAGCTAAAAAAAGAGAGTTAACGAGTTCGTTAGTTATATTAATAAGCTTAAAATAAAATTAAAATATATTTTAATAAAAAAGTAGAGGATCTTTATATTAATAAATAAGCTATAGCCTAAACTATGCCTCGTAATAGTATTATAAATAGAACTTTTATAAACTTATTTATAGCTAATATTATTAATAAAACGTATTAAGCAATCCTCGCTATTAATAAGGAGCTTATAAACGTCCCCTAAGTAATATTTTAATTTAAACTTAAATAAGCTAATAAAAAAATATAAAAGTATTAATAAGTTAATTACGTAAAGAATACGCTATAACTTATTTAATAAGAATATTACGTATTATAATTATAAAAAAACTAGCTATATTATAAAGGATTATTTATAATTATAAGAATAGTATTAATAATACTATAATTATAATAAAACCGGGTACTTCGCTAATAACTACCCTAACGTTATATATTATAAATATAATTAAAAAGGGTATAAGGTTACTAATTATTAATTAGACCTTGCTCTAGTTAAATAGTATAAACTAATAATAAACTTAAATACTATTTTAATAAAGAGGGTAACTAGTAATTAATAAGGGTAGTGCTTAAATATCTTAACCTATATATATCTAAATTATATATAAAAAAAGCTAAGCGCCCTTATCGATTTAGGAATAAAAGGGAACGTAATTAGTATCGGGCTACTTAATAATTTTAATACTAATTTATAAATTTATTTATTATTATAATTAATAAACGTTAAGAGTAAGTAAATAAAAACGCTAAGGAGTTATTACTTATAGCTTCGAATTACTAATAATAATAACGTAACGGAAATATAGTTATATTATTTTATAATAACTAATATTATAATACCTATACTTATCTTTAGTTTTCTTTAGTTAAAAGATATTGACTCGCTAATTAGTTAAAAATAAAAAAAGTAATAATATTTAATTTATAAATAATATATCTATTTAAATACCTTAAAAAAGGGGTTATTAAATAACTTAGTTTTAATAATACTTACGCATATCGTAATTAACTTAGTTATAAATAACGACGTAATATTAATAAGCGTAGCTAAAGATTAAAAACTATAATACTAAGATTTTAATAACTTATTTTTTAAAAAAAAAGCTATTTTATTACTAAATAGAGTACTATACGATTATTATATTAAACTAAATAACGCTATACTTATTTTATAGGGACCTATTTACCTATTATTAAACTATAAGCTCGAGATTTTATAAGACTATTTAATAAAAGTAGAGGCTAGGGACTAAATACGCCCTTTTATAAGCCTAGCTAGAGTACTTATCTTTTTTATACTTAAAAAAAAAAGAGAGCTATAACTTTACGTTAACTATAAAATAATTAATAAGATTATATAAAAAAATAGGACGCCGCTATTACTAATTAAAAAGATACTAAATAAACTATTTAATACCTCCGTTTTTATAAAACTAGATTTTAAAAACGCGTACTACTATATACGTATAGCTAAGGGTAATAAATAAAAAACGGCTTTTTATACTAAATATAAATAGTTCGAGTACTTAGTTATACTTTTTAAACTAATTAATATACCTACGACTTTCTAAGTATATATTAATAATATTTTAAGCAGCCTAGTTAATACTATTTATATTATATACTTAGATAATATCCTAATATATAATAATAATTACGTAGTATATAAAAAGTACGTACGTAGCGTATTATAAAAACTATAGTAATAAAATTTATATTTAAATAATAATAAATACGAGTTCTATATATTGTATATAGGATTCCTAAGGTATATTATATTTAATAAAAGTATAAAAATAGAACCCGCGCGTATTAAAACTATAATAAATTAGCTATTTTTAAAGAATATTAAAAATATATAAACGTTTTTTAGATTTATAGGGTTCTATTATAAATTTATTAATAATTATATTAAAATAACTATACCCCTAATAAACTTATTAAAAAAGGTAAAGCTAGGATAGTTAAAACTATTAATACCTATTATAAAGTTATTTAAGAGGTTATTAATAGTATTTACTAATATACTAATATTATAATATTTCGACCCTACCCTATTTACGTAGTTATAAATAGACGTTTTAGCTCGAGCTATTAGCTTAATAATTACGTAATTATTTAAAAGTAGTTAGTACTTAATTACTTATAAATTAAGGAAATTAATAAATATAGAGAGCTATTACGGTATAAAAAATATAAAGCTACTAGTTATTATAAACGTATTAAAAAACTAATAATACTACCTCGCTTATAACTAAAATTAGGTTATAATATTTATAAACTATTTTAATTTATAGTTTTTAAATACTAAAAAAAGGCTAAATAAGAAATAGTTATATTAGCTAAACGAACTCGTAGCGTTTAATATTAAAATTAAGTTTAAACTAAGTATTAAGAACTTAGCAAATAAATTATTATAAAAACCTAATTACGGTAAAAGTAATAATAATAATAGAGTAAAGGAGTTATTATTAAAAATAAAAAAAGACTTATATAATATTAAAAATATATAAAAACCTTTTAAAATTATAATAATAAGGTATATAAGAACGAGTTATAGAAGTAGCTTTTAAGTAAAAAAGATAGTAAATATTCTAAAAATAAAATTAATAATAATATAAAAAAATAAGTAAAAAAGGTTAAGAACTTTAGCTTAAGGGAGCTTTAAAGAGTATTTTAAGAGGTATAACGAAGTTACGAGCCTAGGGTATTAGAGTTATAATATAATACTTAGGGAGCTACTTAAGCTTATTATTAGAACTATAAATTACGAGCTACTTATTTTATAAAATTTTAATATAATAAGAGTACCCGAAATAATATTTAATAAAGAGAGGTTATTAATAATAAGTTAATTACGGGCTATTTAATAAAAGGATACTTTTATAAAAGATAGGTAATAAATTAAAAAGAACTAATAGCCTTACTTAGTTAGGAAAAAGTAATAATAGAGCTAAGTATATAACTTAAAAGGGCTATTATATTATAATAGCCGCGCTTATATATTACTATATAAGGGGTTAAAAAAAAGTTATTAAAATATATTATAATATATTTATAATAAAATATTATAATATAAAATAAATAATAATATTACTAAAACGTTATTATTATTAAAATAGAATAAGTAGGGATATAAAAAGTTATATTAATATTTATATAATATATTAATAAATGAAGCCTTATTACTATAAGTTATATAGCTTATTATACCCCTTATTTACCCCGGTTAAGTTATAATAAGAAATATTATTAAACTTTATTATAGGTTTACCTATATTAATTATACTAATTAAGAAGCGCTTTTATAACGTAGTATTTATTATAATAAACCGATTTATAAAATATAATATTTATATTATTACGAGGACGACCCTTATAGCTTAGGGATTTATAAACTTCTTATTTATAAAAATTTTTATAAAGTTTAGAATACTTAAAAAGATTATCTCTAATAAGGGCTTATTATTTATAAATAAGTTTTAAACTTATTTTTATTACTTTTTAATAATAAAAAGGTATTTTAATATTACGTTTTACTCGTAAATAAATAGTTAAATAGAATAGTAAAACTAATACTTAGAATAGTATTTTTATTATTTCTATACCTAAGATTAATTAAATTAAGTATAACGTTTTTACTTAACTAAGTTTATATATAATAACGCTTAGTACTTAGTAATTTATAAAGCGCTTATTAAAGCTTTACTTAAGTTCTTATTTACTTACCCTATATCGATTTTAATAAGAACTTAAAATAGTATATAAAATATCTTAGCTAAGGAGCGTATAGCCTAACTATGAGCTAATTAAAAAGCTTTATAACTCTTTATATAAAAAATACGCAAAATATATAAATAATAAATTAATAAAACTAAAATAAATATATTATATAAAATAAGTAACTAAGTATTATTATTAAAAAAAAATATTAAAAAGTAGCGCCCTAGTTAGAAGTTAGTTAATAAGTATTTAAGGCTATTCGAAGTTAAATTAATAATTAAAATAATAAAAGTTACTTACTAATTAAACGTATTAATATAATATAAAATATATAATATATTCTATATATCCTTACTTAAGCTATATTAATACTACGAGGAAGCCCCTTAGAAACCCTTACTTATTAAAAATATAAATAGAGAGCTATTTTATAAAATAAAAAATATTATATAATATAGAGGGCTAAAAAAGAAGTAATAATACCTAATTAAATAAAAGGGATATAATAATAATAAAAATATATAAAAACTAACTAAGTATATTAAAAACGTAGCGTTAATTAGGATATATAAAAAACGAGTTTTAATTAAGTAGCGCGCCCTAGTTCTTAATAAACCTAATAACGTAGTAAATTAGTTATTAATAACAAAAAAAGGGGGCTATATAGCTATAATTAAATAATATAAATATACTAACTATAAGTAGCTTTTTTAATTCTTAGGACTTATAAGAAGACTACCCTTATATATAAAGGGGCTACCCTTATCTTTATCCTTAGGATTATTAAGGAAAAAGTAGTTATTTTATTATTAATAAATTTATAAATAATTAGTTATAAATACGGAGTATAAATAGGGCGACTATACTACTTTTAAAATATTATTTAAATAGCGTACCTCGTTATAAATAATACGTAGTAATATAATTATTACGTTATTATAAAATAAAAACGTAGCGCGGGAAGAGCTTATAGCTACTTTATTATTATTATTATTAATAATAAGGGTAAAACGGGCCTCTTTATTAACGCGCTTAAGTACTTTTTATATATTATTAATAATAATTTTATAAGTTTATTAGAGCTATAGAGTAATATTAATAACCTAAGTAGTAATAATAATAAAATAATAATAAAATAATAAACCTCTAAATCGTAAACGTTATTATTTAAAATAAGAGCGGTATTTTAGAAAGTTCGTATTATAAACTCCGTAAACTTAAAAACCTAAAATACTATTAATTAATATATAAGAAAAGTAATAAAATAATAATAGTATTAAACGCTTACTATATTTTTATAAAAATAGTTCTACGTAATATATTTTATATAACATATACTAAATTTTAAAAAAGTATTAAATAAAAAAGCGAATTAGGGGCTAAAAATTACCGACCTAGCTAATTATAATACTCGACTTTTAGATTAAACGCCTTATATATAACGTAAGCGGGATAGGGGAGCGGGTATACTTAGCTAACCCCGATCTTTTTAATATTTACTTTTTTTTTCTTTTTAATAAGAGTTTATAATAATTAATATAAATAGTATATAAATAGTAATATATATATAAAATTAAGATAAGTAAAAAGAATATTAAGCTTTTTAAGTAAACGGCTACTACTACCGCTACTAAGTATACCCGTAGCGCTAATAACTAGTCCGCTACTAATTATAATAACGCTACTAAGAACTATACTTATACTAAAATAGAATTAATAATAAATATAATATAACTCTAAAAAAAACTAACTTAAATAGGGGAGTATATAAAGTTAAGAAATCTAAAAAATATTTATTAGCTATAAGATCTATATAATAAAAAAGTAGTATAAATACTAATAAAAACAAAAAACTATATATAATTAGGATAATTATAAATAAAAAAAAAAGAGAAATTAGGAATCGTAATAGCTTAAAAGGGGGTTAATATTAATAAATAAAAATAGGGTAACGACTACCTAAGTATTAATAATTATAAAAACGGATTATAAGTAAGAGTAATTTAAGTATAGAATTATAAAACTAACTAAATTTATTATTTAGAATAAGGGGTCTATACTTAAATTAATAAGTATTACTTTTACTTACCCTTATACTATATATTAAAAAACTTTATAAATAAAAAATTAATATAATATATATAAATTATAAATAGTTTTTAAAATAAAGCCTAGGGAAGGGAGTATTTTATTAAACCTCGTTAATTAAACCTTATTAATTAAAAAATAGCTTAAGGGGTATAAAGAGGGGAACTAAGTAATAAAAAAGTAATTTAAGTATATATAGAGCGTTAATAATATACCTCGAGGGAAGGGTAGATTTTAGTAATTTATTTTTTAGACCCTAATAGTAGTTAGCCTCTATAAGCTTCTTCTTTATATTACATACCTATTAATACTTAATAACGGCTACGATGCGCAATGACCCCTATGGAATATCAGAGGAGTTGCGTAAGGACGTACCTGCTAACCTTAAGGCGGCTACTGGGCATGTTATCATCACCCAAACATGCATTTATGTTCAATGGGGCTATATAGCATACCCCATAGCCCTTCTTGCGCTGCAGTGGATATTTTCGACCCTGGTGTTGGTTGCGTGTAGTCAGCGAAGGAGATCTGGGGATGGGCCAAGTCGTGCAGTCTGGAAGTCCTCGCCTCTAGCACTTCTCTTTCATGGGCTTGATGAGGATCTGCAGACCAGGAGTCAGAATCTCGAGACTGTCAGACAGATGAACAGTTTGGCAAAAGATGTCAAGGTTCGTTTGGTGCCGATGAATACTTCTCAACGGAAAGGATGGCACTTCGCGGGCGTCTAGATGTTCGATAACCTGTCACGATTCTCGAGTGACCAATAATGATCCTTTTGATGTTTTTTTGACATCTATATTTGTCCGTGGCCGCTGTAGCTTTTACCCTATTTTGTGTTCATGTTGTTTAATCAAGTCAAGACACCAGATATTCAAGTCGCAGCGTGATTTGGGATGTGTATCAGGTGAGTGGTCACATGTATTCAAGCTGACTGAACTGGAATATGCAAGTATATTCATGTTGGTATCCTACAAGACGTTACGCTCTAAATCAATGATGCATCCCCCCCTTCGCTCCAAGTCAGATGCCTTACTATCCCTTGAAAATCAGGAAAATATTCGGTTTTGGTCAATCACACGAGAACCTAGCTCAACCGTTTGGTGATTTTGCCTATTTTAAGCAGCTGTGACCTCTTGGAACATTGTAGCATTTCAACTTCTTGTTCCTAGTGTAGGATGTAACGTTAGTACTTCTGCTTCCCTACGAATTATGATAGAAAGTAGTCTAACCTGCGGGGCAACCAGTAATGCAGGTGTTGGTCTGGCCTGTGAGGGGTCCTTTGCAGCAGTAACTACCGCCGAGTGGTCGAATGTGGTCATTAGAGACTGATTGTGTGCAACCGTTGCATGAACCGCTTCCGTCGGGGAAAGTGCAAGCTTTGAAACAGCCAAAGTTGGAACATTGACTTGTGCCAGTGGTAACCTGTAGGTCGAAGAGCTCGGTCTCGTCAGGGCCGCATGCCGCGTAGGCATGAGCTGCGAGGAGAGCAACGAGAGGAAGGAGTTGGAACTTCATTTTAGCAATGGTGGTTGTGATGGAGAATGTTTTGGAAATGAGAAAGAAGTTGAGACTTGAGTGATGGTTGTGCTGGACAAGACATGAAACTACGGTAGGATCCTTTGCCCTTTATACGAGATTCATCTATAATGGTAGGTGGAACTTCACAACTGACTTATGAATAGCTCCATTAGTGGACCGCTATGCCACCATGCTCGATAGGGAACGCATAAGCGCAGCTCGCAACTTGTATCGAATCATTGCAAAAGTTCCGTTTCGTAGACTACGACTTCCTCGCGTTCGGTTGGGCTATGCCGTACGCCAGACCGCCTAAAGAGCGCATCACGTTCTACGCTTCTACGCAAAGGAGGCTGTGCACCATGATACGCTCTAAGGACTTCAAACAAATGGCCGAAGCTTCCAATAGTGATATCGAATCATGCTACAAGCGTCCATACGGAGAAATCCTGCCCAGCACCTCCTAGCGATCACGGTGCTTGAGTGCAAGAGACGGGAATCATAATGGAGGTTTTCCAGTCGTAGACGTAGTGAATAAAGTTCAACCCTCTGACTGCTGTTTTATCTCTAGGCCCCTGAAAACTTGTCGCAGGGGAGACCACAAGGCAATACCATGGGCGCATAGGGGCCCATCCACGCCTCATGAGCATCACGACTCATGACCGCCCTCGCTTTGCCCGGGGATGACCGATCGTCCCGTCCTTTGATGGCTACTGACCAGTAAATACCGCCGGCACTGGCCTTGAATTCTTTCCTAAAGAAGTCGCAGGAAGTAATCCCTCCGTTCGGGAAACTCCCGATATACTACCGACCAGATGAACCGGGGGAATCTTGGCACTCCTTGTTTCTGTGGGACGAAATAGAGTTTGTATTCCAATATCCAACCGGAAAACCGGCTTTGACGGGCGTGTAGAAACTATTGCCGGGGAGTTGGACTCCACGAGTCGACAGGAATTGAAAACGTGTATAACCCATTCTTCGGGCTCGGTAGAATCACTCGCCGATCGCATCAGGTTTGTCCGAGTGAGTCGCACATGTATGAGTGCAGGGAGACAGTGGCAACTTGCAACTTGCTATTTGAACAGGCTCTCCTTGGCTTTCCGCCAGCATCTGAGCCAAACTTAGCAGGTTCAAACTTGACTCAAGAGGGAGCGAACGGCACGGTGTGTCAGTACATGCGGCTGCTTCTTTGACTAGTCTGTAGTTGTCTTGTGTTGGATGGTGTACAATACTACGGCTTGACCTCGTCAGGAGGAGTACTGACTTGTGAAAGTGGGTCAGGGGTAGCTCGCTCGGATAATCCCATCGACATCAAAGCGGAACTATTGAAGGTGGATAAGCTGTCCGTTCTTGGGAGGAGACATGCTTGATGGGCAATTTTGATTCAAATTTATAGTAACTGGAACATGAATCATAATCTTCTCGTTCGAACCAGCTTAGCCCAAAGCAAACTTTTGACAACACAAGACCTATCTCCTGTCTGAAATGATACGGTCAGAAAAGTTGTAAGAGCCACGATAAGAAGTTCAGTCTCATCAGTGTTTTGAGAACTTACACGAACTTAGACTTGTCTAGCAAGCGCTCCAGCACTTCACGGTCTCAAATCCGGGCTCGCGGCAGCAGTAGTTCTGAGCCACAAGCCATTGATACTTGATCTCGCCCTTTCTGCAGCCGTTGCCGGCGCTATCTGTGCACCTTCCACTAAACAGAGACTCAGCATTCCATCTTCAAGAGCATATGCACGACTTGGGCTCATTGGCTTAGCATGGGGGTAAAATACCTGCCGAGGGGACATGCTGAGCAGCCAGCTGAGACGACAGATGCGGCGCCGAGAAGAAGCGAGAGTTGAAGAAGGATATTCATTGTTGAAGTGGTCCTTGAAAGGGTTGGGCTCGTGAAGGTAGAAGTTGAAACGTTGAAAATGAGAATGAACTGGTGCGGTTATGAGATTTTAATTCGCAGATGCAGAAGCTAGGAGCTTGGTTTATATACTATCGAGCCCGTCCGATTTTGTGCTATACCAGTCTGCCTGAAGGCTCGGTTGCGTCGTATATTCACCGTCTCTTCAACCAAAGAGTCGACACTAAGCTTAGGGTTCATGGGTTCGTGATAGCAGAAACTGTCTTAAAATTGCGCCCCTACGATGCGGTGACTTCTCTATTCTGTTCAGCAAGATAACCCTGGACCACAGTGAGCTCTGGCCAAGTCGCTATCCAATTTCAAGCAATATACTTCCTGGAGGAACGCGATCGTCAACCTTCCAGAATTAATCGTACGGTTGAGAGCCGCAAAGCTTGTTCTCGCTAACCTGTCTTGGCAAGCGTGCGATAGGCACGGTCAGGATATTGGCATTCCTCAACAGACTTCGCATAGTCCTATATCTGCAATTATCTTTTGCAGTTGCGAGACTTTGTCTGCCAGGCACTAGAAGTTTTTGCTGACCGCTAGGATTGCGATCAGGGTCGCGGTAATACCGAAGGGAGAATCTTTGCAACTCAAAATGTTCGGCTACCTACTGAAGGCAGCACTAAAGATGTAAAAAGTCTCCGTCTCCTCCAAATCTCGCTGTCGGTTATTCAAAACCAAAATTTGGGAAGAAGTCCGGCCTTATTTCCTGCAAAAGGACTCGCCGGGCTAAACTCGACTAGGCAGAGCAGAATCACAGGCCATGTCTAGCCAAAGTACCCCTAAATATCCATGAACGAGAAAGTACCTTTTGAGGAAACTTCCAAGTCAGATGGAGATCTAAGAGATGGAGTGGTCTAGGAACTATGGTCTACCATGGAATCCTTGAATCTGAGCGCATTGACAGCCATGTTATAAATGTCATCCGACCAATTGCTCTTTGGAGTCTATTATCAGACGAGGTGATTCAGATGAGATACGTGATCTAATGGCCTCAATGTCAATCGAGGCCTGTCTTTCACCTTGACATCGATTTCCAATCTGCGCGGCGGGCTGCTTTACCGGTTTCCGCGCGGCTAGCCTTAAGCCCACCTCCTTATGAATTGTGAATATAACGCAATCCATGATCCGCCTACCACTTACCACTCCAATTCCTTCTTACTTTCGCTATTACAACCTCCTTCGGCGTTTCCACCTTGCGGTTTTCGCCACTCGTAGACACCGCCTCTCTTATCAAACGCGCTCTTGTCCCAAGCCACCTGCAGCATGGCCTTCTTCACTCCAACATCAAGCAAGGACTCGCTCTTCTTCATCGGCCCATTGCCCTTGTCGAGGAAGCGCAGCTTTTCGTCCAGCAGCAAATAGCTACCAGCCATCGTCTCATTGTCCTCGGGCACGTAACAAGGCAGGTGCTCGTGCCTCCCGCAGAACGTCTGCCATTGCTCCTCCGAGATGAGAAACTTTCTTGCGTCACGCACCCGCGTCTCATCCTCATTCTCGCCTTCTACAATCAGGCACTGGAAAACCTTCCATCGGAACGGTGCCAACAGGGCAATCGTGTCTGCCATGTCCTCGTTCCAGTTGTAGATGTTGACAACAGTGTTGAGCTTGAACATGATGTTGTACACCTTGCACCACTCGGCAATGCGGAATACCTGTGCGATATGGTCTTTTTCTCCCTCCGCTCCGCCATTCTCCCCACGACCGATCTCCTTATTCGTCTCGCGGACAAACGAGTCACAAGAGATCGCCAGAATGTCCAGATAGCGGCCGTACTCGCGGAGCCACTTCTCTTGGATTTTGCTTCCGTTGCTGACGATGCTTATGCTTTCGATGTCCAAATCTTCCTTACAGTACCGCAGCAGCTCGCCCAGGAATTTCGGATGAAGGAATGGCTCGCCGCCGGCAACATTGAGCTTACGCATGCCTGCGCCCTTCAAAAGACGCATGCCATGCTTGGCTTCGTCCAAAGAAAGAATGTAGCCTGAGGTGTTGGTGTGGAAGCAGAATCCGCAGGCATAGTTGCATTCGCGGGATGGGAAATAATTGACAGAGACAGGTGCGTCCGGGTCGTCCACTGGAGGCTTGGGTTTTGACTCCTGGGTGACGGCTGTCTTCGATCGATGAGAGCGGGATGTGTCGGCGTGGCGGCGTAGTGAAAAATAGTAGGTTATTGCTAGCACAGCAATACACATGACCCATAAGAAGGGAGGTATCGTCGAAAAGGTTGATAGCGCCGTCTGGGCGGCAATAGTTAGGATTCCCATGATGTCGGGCTCATAGGTTCTCCTTGTTGGTTCTAGATGTAGTCTCACTGCAAATATTGACACATACGGCAGCAGCGTATTGAACAAATTATGAGGTTCACCCAGTGAAGCCCAACTTGAACGAAGTCGGGTATTTTTAGAGTTTAGGGCTTCCAATCAACACAGAGGACTTACTGATTAACCCCTCAAATGCCGGTATCACAAGAGATTATGTAATGAGACAGCTTTCGTAGGCCATCATGGCCGTCCAACTGCGACATGGGACGGGGATGATGCACCTTCCCTTCCGACGTTACTAGACCTGCCAACACACTGCCAACGTCACCCATACGAGCAAACAACTCACCAGCCTCATCACCATGGGCACCACCACGGCTCCGAACAGACGGAAGTTTGCAGTCATATTCGTTCTCGGTTGGTCACCTATCGGTCCTAATCGGTAGATAGGATGCAAGCCCGCTCACCATCGTGATAGGAGCTCCCGGCTCGGGGAAAGGCACGATCTGCACCCATCTGTCCCGCAAGAATGACCTGTTACACTTCTCAGTGGGAGATAATCTGCGGACCTGGATGAAGGATGAAGCAAACCGCCAGACGCCTCTCGCCGCTGTGATTCAAGATAAGCTAGACAACCAAGGATTCCTCACGTCCACGGAGTTGAACCCATTCCTGGGCATTGCCATCGAGGATGCAGTGCGGCAAGGTGGTTTGAACGGGATATTGATCGACGGATTCCCAAGGTGCGAGGAGCAGCTTGCCTCGTGGTCGCAGTGGCCCTTTCAAGAACGCCTTCCGTTGGTATGTTGATGCGGATATAGCCCAAACATGTGGGCTACAAACGGCTAATTCGAGCAGGAGGGTCAACCTAAACCCGACATCGTCTTGTCACTCGATGTGACCAAAGAGAACGCAGAAGCGAGATACCTCGCGCGTGGCCGCGACAAGAACGACAGCGGGGAGAAGTTCACGAAGCGGTTCGCAGAGTACTTGGAGGAAGGACCGCCTGTGGAACGACACTACCGTCAAGCAGGATTGCTAGTTGATGTAAGCATGACCGCCTTTCTTTGCATTCACAACTGGAACCCTTCTGACAAAACCTCAGATCGACAGCAATGGCACCAAGGAAGAAAATATCGCAGGGGTGGAGAGGACACTGGGAGACAGCGCATTGTGGAACCGTGTGATAGGCCAGGGTACGGAGTCGGTTTTCCTCGTATCCCACCGGTGACCGGGTGCCGGATGACGCCCATAGCCCATGTGTATACCAACTTCCCCAGGAAGAGTAAGCCAATTCAAGGCCATCTCCAACTTCGTCTTACTTGCTGCTACACCCGCCATCCGCGGACGTTGACCTTGTTCTGGTGCATCTGCTCGCCATCTCCGACTACGCCACTTCACTGAACTTCTATTATCTCCTTCATCTTTAATGGAAAAATCTTACTTTACGCAAATTTGATATTTACGCAGTATGATTCCAATTCGAAGGAATTTGGCTTCCAAAGGAAGTGCCAGGAGTTATAAGACCTTGGTATGGAGTCTTTGTCATCTGTAAGAGCTACATGGATGACTTGGACGGTTGAAGTCTGATAAATAATCTCTTTACACGCTTGTTGATAGAATTAGACAATACCTGCCAGATTGTCCGATCCTGGGAGGCGTTACCGGCTCTGAGTGAGGCAACTTATACTATGTAGATGGTTCTCTTAGATTGAGCATAAAATCAGTTCTTCCTACGTAAAGATGACCTAAACAAGCATCGTTGTCGTCTCATCGAGGCCAAAAGTAGTAGTATACCTCGACAAGTCCGCCGGGGTGTTCCTTCCACGAATCATGGTAAGACAAGGCTGTGAAAGATATGTCTCTTTTATTCTTAGCTTTGCCCGATGCCTGAAGCGAGGCGCCTATAAGTGATGAAAGTCGCCTATACGATCCTCCTCCAAGCATTACGGTGGCACAGATCAAGGTTCACGAGGCCTTTTGTGCTTTGCAGGTAGACTCCTGCGTCAGCTTCACCCAAAGCGCTCAATACCCATACTATATCCTTGATACTTTGCCCGAATTTCGAGTGAACTGTAACCGAATCATGACGATGTTACACCGAGGATCGACAGCGGTGGGCTGAGACGAGCGCAAAGTGAAGCGCTTCAGCTGACATGCCACTCACGGGGTGTCAAGGGCTACTGGCTCAGAGTTTAGCCCTAACACAATTGCATGTTATGATATTACGTTCGAGTATCTAGCAAGTATCAGGTAATAGTGTATTAACCTTGGACGTATGTAGACCCCGGCCTCATAGGCAGACTTCATACTTTAACTACTAGTAAGCATGTAATGAAACGGACATAAGTTCTGCTAAGCCGCCAGGTAAACGAGCACTAGCTTCAAGAGAACACAGTCCCCTGCATGTAGGGTAGAGACAACAAGGCTCAGTTCTTCGCTTGGACGGAAAGCAGCCGGAGTGGGGTGTTGTCGTTGAAGTTTGGCTCTTATGCAAGTAAGCTTACCTCACTTTCCCGCGCTACATTTGCTCCGTACGCGAGTTGATTGGCTCGTATAGGGGACGGCCCGGTCCATCTTGCTTACTTCGTTTACATTTTCCGTTGAGCCGATGGTAAGGGACCTTTGCTTCTCAGGTTGACTTCCAATCAAAGGATCCCTGGTGTGGCAATGAGTATTCTAAGTCAGGTCGATTAATCGAGGTGCATACTCACTAGAACAAGGTATTGAAAGCAGTTGTGGATATGTCGATCGGTCATGTTCTAGTCTAAGTGCTTTGCAACACAAGAGCCTGGTCCACAATAGCATAGACCTGTGGTGGTGATAGACTATTGTTGTATTCCTCCCCAGAGCCTAGGTTCATGGTCATGGATACCGTGGCAATACGAAGTTGGCACTAGCATCGGGCGAAGCTATCCAGAAAGTGACTGGGATGACGACTATGGCCTATCGAGTTGACATCAGCTCTTCCTCGGACTTCCGGAACAATAAGTCATGTCTCGAGGCTTGAGAACCTTCTATAAAAGGTTGACATAGTTCACTTCAAAAGCTCTCATCTCTTCCCCATCATCATCACATCAATCTACTCACGTCACTCACGAAACAAGACAACTCTTAACCTATATTCAGTAACTCCTATCGTCACCTCGCTCCATCCAAAAATGTACGCCTCCAAGATCTTCCTCGGCCTCATCGCCACCGTCTCGGCCATCGATATCTACGGCTACAAGAACAACGAAAAGTGCGGCGGCGGCGACTACATCGTCTGCACAAACGCCAACCCAAATGACTGCTGCGTCCGCTCCTCTGGTGACACCTTCCGCAGCATCGGCTTCCGCGCCATCCCAACCAACTGGAGAATCATCGGCCGCGCCTTCAGCGGCGGCGACTGCAAGAACGTCAAGTACGTCGCCCAGTCCAACGGCGCGCAGAATGTCTGCTGCGGCGGGAGCACCTACTCTGGCGGCAACTATGTGTTTGCTTCCAAGAAGCGCGATGAGAGCGCCACTGAGGATGGCACCTGCGCCGCTTCTGCCGGGGGCTGCACTTCCGTTGCGAAGGGCAACTTGATGGTCTTTGAGAACGGACCCAAGTATAACATGACTGGTCTTGATGATGCTCTTTACACTGAACTGGTAAGTACATCCGTGTATTTGATATTATCTGTCCTCTGAAGTTCATATATACTGACATTGGGTTCTCTTCTTCTAGTAAGCTATAATGTCCTTCATCTTCCTGGATCGAAGCTCCTCTTGTCTCCCTTCCCAGCCCTTTCGTTGTCACATTTACTAACGTCTTTGTCACCAACAGTATCTCTATCTGGGAGAACGGCGGAAGCTCGGATGAGATCCCTGCCAAGTTCGATGCCTACAAGTTTGAGTAGAATCTTAATCAAGGGGTTGGTCAGGACTTAGGTCAGGGGAGGCGTCCAGGCTGCAATCCACTCATCTTCCCGATCTCACCCAGACCACGTCATGATCATCTTCCCCCGTCATAATTTCTCTTCACTTTCTAGTATACAGCTTTCACCATTCCAAGTCTTTGGGGACCGTATTGCATGGACAGGTAGATAGCTAGCTACTCATTTCAACAATGGCGTATCCGTCTACCAATACAAGCAACATCTATTCTCTTCTCAAAGTAGTTCGACTGCGTGCAATGATCGGATAACTCTGAGTCAGCGGTTGGGTTGAAACCAGCGTGCGAGTTAGGGTAATGTTTGGCTACAGAGCAGCTAAGTCTGAAGAACAAACATCAAGGGGTTAAGGGGAGCAAGTTGCAACATTTGCCTAAATACAGGCTAAAGTTTCATGTTATATCATGTACCTAGAGTCTAGATTTCATCACCCAACGCCTTCTTTACATGAAAATATTGTCACAAAACAGGGTTATCATTAGAAACTCTGCTACGTGCTTCCTCACGTAGATCTCACACTCCTGCCGTAGATAGACTGCTCTCTTTTCTTTATTCTGTATGTGTTATTTCAATATACTTTTGATCCGCTTTATATTCCCGTTACAATGTACCATAAATCATGACATATATTGTCCACACGATGCACGTAGTCCAATAATGGCGGGTACATCTCCCGACGAGCCAGTGCCTTCACCCAGGAAAGCCAACCTCGCCAACAACGACCCACTCCCTTCAACTCAAGCCCTCACAAAACTCCAGAATCCCAAATCCCTCCCCTCCTCCAATCCTCTCCCAACACCTCTCTCAAATCCCTCCACCACTCCAAGACCCAATCCAAAAACCCCCTCTCCTGATCCCTCCTATCATCCCCAATGAACACTCCCCACCCTAACGTGCTGAGATCCCTCGAGACCAGCGGATTCGGACATCTACAGGACAGCTTAGTCCCAGCTGAAGCAGAGACCTCGCCAGAGAGAACGCCGAGGCAGGTTCTCAGTCGACACCGCTGGGCCCAATCAACCGTCTCGGTTGCGGCGTCTGGTGCTAGGGGTAGAGATGGCATTGCTTGGGTTTCAACTTGCTTCGTAGTGCTACCGCAAAAGAGACAGACGCATGGCGTTGTGGGATGGGAGTTCTGAGGTGATGAGGCCACGGAAGATACTACGGAATGCTCTTTAGAGATCTCGGTTCTGCGATACGCAGATCCGCGCTAGGAAATTGGTGGCGCAGATTTGTTTGTGCTGGAAGAGTCTGGCAAAAGAAGGGAATTGAAAGAAATGATCGAGTTTAGATGGTTATATTTTCTAGAGAAAAAGACAGAATTCAAGAAAGGCAGCTTCAGCTAGGTACATGTACCTGTGGAGGGTGGCTTCAATAACAGTCAGAAGTGAGGCTGTGAGACCGATGGTGCGTGATTGAGTCCTACTAGTTAGTCCTACCTCTAGGCTACTAGCCCCATGAAGGATGAGCATCCACGCCAGTTCATCAGGACTTTAGCGCATTGGCAGATTGAGGACGCCTGCGAATGGGATGAATCTGATAGACTTTATCCCGAGTAAAACCGTGATTATCAAAGATATCGCAATGTTCTGGATTTCCACAAGATTAGTGCATCATTCGATATTTAAGAATAGCAAGGTCAAAAGCATGTCATGGTCATGATGTACTCCCACCCAAGATGCATTGCATCGCAAGCAAGGCCGATTTTAATAGTGGGCATAGCTTTCGCAAGTTTCTCATTCAAGATTTGTATGTTTTGATCCACCGTACCCGTTCCCCGGCGTCAAGGTAATATACAAGACCGCATTTACACATCTCACATTATTACACGAAGGCTTGGATACCAGTGATAGCACGACCCAGAATGAGACCTGGTTCTTAGGTTAGTAAGGGATATCCCTGAAGCATACGGCCACGGGAGCAACTTACTGTGAATATCACTCTGTCCCTCGTACGTCTGCGTCACGAAAAGGTTGGCGACGTGACGGCCAATGCCATACTCGTCACTGACAGCATTACCACCAAAGATCTCTTGCAGCACGCGCGCATTCTGCAGCGCCCGATCGCAGTTCTGGCGCTTGACCATGCTGATCATCTCGGGCGTCGCCTTGCCCTCGTCCTTGAGTCTGCCGACCTGGATCGCGGCCACGGTACCGTAGGCCGCGTCCGTCGCAGCGTCTGCCAGCTTCTTCTGTACGAGTTGGTACTTAGCGATGGGGTTACCCTTAAACTGCTTTCGCTCGAGTGAGTACGTCCTGGCGCGGGCAATGCAGTCCTCAAGGGCACCAATGACGCCCAGGGAGATACCGTATCTC